AAGTTGTGGTCCTAGCTGGATACAAGACAGTCAAAGAGGCTCTGGTCAGCAATGCAGAAGAGTTTGGAGATCGAGACATTGCCCCTATATTTTATGATATTAATCAGGGTCATGGTATGTCCTTCCTTTACAGTATTTTTACATATTAACACAAAGCCAAAATATATAAATGAACAATTCAAGCGAAAGCAAAATCACAAATATCTGTTTGATATATATACTGTATAATCTGTTTCAGTGATTCATTTTCTGGTTTGTTTTACTGATCACTGATGAGTACAATAATATATAACAAGTACAGATCAGATTTGACTTGCATGTCATGTTTAATAGGGATTCTGTTTGCAAATGGAGAATCATGGAAAAAGATGAGACGTTTTGCCCTCACCACCCTGAGAGACTTTGGGATGGGCAAAAAAGTAGCTGAGGAAAAAATCTTGGAGGAATGCCGCTATCTGATCCAAATGTTTGAAGAGCATAAAGGTATGGAGTTAATATAGTACATATATATATATATATATATATATATAATGTGTGTATGTGATAATACATGATAGGCTCTACATTGTCTGTTATTTTTTGTTATAATCTGTGATAATTTCAGTCTTTCTCGCTGCCACTTTACAGCGAAACCATTTGATACAACATGTCCGGTGAATTACGCAGCATCGAATATCATCTCCTCTATTGTGTATGGAAGCAGGTTTGAATACAATGATCCCAGATTCAAAAACATGGTGAGAAGAGCAAATGAGAACATACGCATTAGTGGCTCTGCACCAGTCCTGGTAAGATAACCATGGTAAACATAATTTAAGTCTCCAAATTCATATAACTCTATAGTCCAATATAAGGATGACTATTTCACAAGATTTTGACCTGTACCTTTTGATGACATAGATTTGGAGAGTAGATCAGAAAGATCATTGACCCAGACACAGAAAATTATATTTACTAAGTCATGTGGCAAGACTATATTAATCTTTTAAAAAAGAGGTTGTCTTTGGGTTACTGTTTGTATTACCATGCTTCAGTAATCTTTGTTGTTTTTCCTGTTGTGTCACAGCTTTACAACATGTTTCCCAGGCTAGTCAGTTGGATCAAAAACCGGCAGCTGATAATAAAAAATGCTGAAATGACTATCAGGGATGTCAAAGATTTAATCAAGCAACTGAAAGAGACTCTGAACCCTCACATATGCAGGGGTCTTGTGGACTGTTTTCTGATTCAGAAGGAGAAAGAAGAGGTAATAGGTTTTTTTCATTGGACAAAAAGAAGAGCAATGCTGCGGTCAGTCACACAGCTATTTTATAATAATATATGGATGTTCTTTTCTTGTAGGACTCTTGTGTTAAGGACACACACTACAATGAGAAAAACCTGATATATACAGTGACCAACCTGTTTGCAGCTGGTACAGATACCACAGCAGCAACACTGAGATGGGGTTTAATGCT